CGATTTATCAAAATACGCATTGATTTTTTTTTTTTAAATAATAGCATTTTCCTGATCATAAAAACAAAATAGTACTAAGACAGAAAACAAATGAACTGTTGAAGGCCCCCTCCCGTGATAATCACCTGCACGCTCTCCCGACGCGGGAAGAAGACCAGTGCTGGAGTCAAACCTCGCCGCGTCACAAACTTTGCTCATTCACAGGCGCCATTTTTTGCCTCAGGCACTCCCTCCCCTCCACTGCCATTCCTCGGCTCAGACCACGCCCCTAGGCCTCACGTCATTAGCCTAGCCTGGTTCCCAGGCTCCAGACTCCTCCACCTCGTAGGTCCCCGCTCCAATCTTCTGGTGACGTCACAAGGCTCGCCTCGCTCTCGCAGACGCCCCAGAGCAATCATTGGCCGCTCCCTGCCCCCAGATGTTGTATTATGCAGCTTAGGCCCCGCCCCCTCGCCTTACTGGCTTAGCCTGCCTTCTTCCCAGGTTCCAAGTTTCACCACGCAGGCGCGGCCCCACCCCCACAGCCGTTTCCTCTCGGGCCCCACCCCCTGGCCGCACCACAACAAACCCCATTTTGTTCTCAGGCGTCAGACTGCACCACACAGGCCCCGCCCCTTTCCCAGGCGCTGCGATTCATTCACAAGCACTTCCCCGCCCCTCTCGCCGGGTGTTCGACTAGCCGTTCCCCCGCCCCCGCAGCAATTCTCCCGCGGACCGCGGCCGCCTGGTTCCCCGCTATCGTCAACGTCCCCACCGTCCCCTCAGCCGAGGCACCACTGCAACCCAGCCTCACCAGCTTTCGCCGGCTCGCAGTGGACGCTCTCGCCCACTTTCGCCATTCTCTATCTGGCGCCGCTGGTTATCCAGGCCTGGCATCGTCTCGCGCTGTGGCTCTCTGTCCTCAGCCGCTGCCGCAGTTGCGACCGCCGCCATCGCCGCTCGTCCTCTCACTGCCAACGCAGCTGTGAGCGATAGGAAGACGCCCCTCAACTGCCACTTCCGGATTCTGGTCCCGGAAACGGAAGCGGAGCCCCCCAAACGGCCGCGGGGCTACTGCCATATTGGAAATGGCCCCCAAGCTCAGACGCGTTGAGGTGCTAGGCGGACAATTGCCTGCGGGCTGTGATACCTGCGACTAATAGGTAGGAAACTAAGAAAGTGCCTTGTGGACCTCCAACACGATGTTGAGTTGGGGCACAAGGTTATGTGGAAGGCAGAGGCCGAGATTCCTGGAGATGGGTCAAAGACCCCTACTCTGGGAGCGGCGTTTTTGTTAGCCTGACCAGAATGCCTTTCCTTCTTTGCACTACCGTTATCCATCAAAACCCAATGCAAAAGAAGTCTCCAACTCCAGAGAGCCACCTAGGCCTTCAGGTCATTGTTGCCCTTACTGAACTAGATTTATTCACTATACAAATGGTGTTGAAGGCAAGTCAGCCTTAGGCCTTCTGTGTTTGTTGGAGTAAAATAAAAAAAGATAACATATTCGGGCATGGTGGTGTATGCCTGTTGTTCCAGCTACTCGGGAGGCTGAGGCAGAAGGATCGCCTGAGCCCAGCAGGGTCGGCGCTGTGGTGGCCGTAAGCGTGCCACTGCACTCCAGCCTGTGGGACAGAGTGAGACTCCAACTAAAAAAAAAAAAAGAAATAGCAGTCCACCCAGTTTAAGCGCTTTATTGTAACAACCATGAACAACAGGGGGAGCTGAGGACCAGAAACTAGTCCCTCAGCTAGTGAGTGGCAGAGCTGTGGTTCAAACTCCGTAAATCGCCGGGCTCGGTGGCTCAGCCTGTAATCCCGCGCTTTGGGAGGCTGAGGTGAGTGGATTGCCTGAGCCCGCGGGTTCGAGACCCGCCTGGGCAACTTGGCGAGGCCTCATCTCTACAATAAATCAAAAACAAAAAATTAGCCGGGCGTGGTAGCGCGCGCCTGTAGTTCCAGCTACTTAGAAGGCTGAAGTGGAAGGATCGCCAGAGCCCAGCAGGTCGAGGCTGCGGTGGCCGGGAGTGGCCACTGCACTCCAGTCTGGGTGACAGAGTGACTCCAACTCAAAAAAAAAAAGAAAAAGAAATCTCATAGCTTTCATTTAAATTAACTAGTTTATATAAAATAGTTAGATCCAAATTGGCAGATGGAACAAATTAAGGTTATCTGTTTAATGAGAGTTAAAACTTATTGCCAATATTTGTGGAAGAGACTTTTAAGATTTTCGTTTGCAGCCGGGCTCGGTGGCTCTGAGGTGAGTGGATTGCCTGAGCCCGCGGGTTCGAGACCCGCCTGGGCAACTTGGCGAGACCTCGTCTCTACAATAAATCAAAAAAATTAACTGGGCGTGGTAGCGCGCGCCTGTAATTCCGGCTACTTGGAAGGCTGAGGCAGAAGGATCGCCAGAGCCCAGCAGGTCGAGCGGCCACTGCACTCCAGTCTGAGTGACAGAGTGAGACTCCAACTCAATACCAATAAGCAAATAAATTCCATAAATCTGTTTACAGAGCTATGTTTAAGGACACCAGGCCAGATTCCCATACTGGTCCCTGGACTGTCTACTGGTTCAGAAATCCTCTCAGAGGATTTACAAAGTCAAAACTACTTCCACAATACTTTTTCACTCTTATCCTCTCATGTGTGTACAGTGAATTATCCAGAGGCTACCTGATGTAAGCAAAAGCTGTGTGTCAATGTTTTAGAATATAAAAGGATTCTGAGATCTGGGTTTCTCAACCTCAGCACTATTGTCATTTTTTTTGTTGTGCGTCCCTTACCTCTTCCAACTAGATACCAGTAGCACCCCTCAAAACAACCAAAAGTGTCTCCAGACATTGTCAAATGTCCTGAGGTGAGGGGAGGAACTATCTCCAGCTAAGAACACTGCACTAAGCTACGCTATCCTTTTTCTCTGCTAAGTCTCCCAGTTCTGTTGATGATGACTTTAATATTTCCCTTTGGTGCCCTGCTTCTACTTGCCTATTGGCTGACTTCACCTGGCCATCCTCCAAGCTCATAATTCTGGAGCTGTTTCAGTGACTTCCTTCACAATCACCATCCAGTGGTTCTTGTCCACAGGCAAGGACTAACTTTGTCTTTCCACCCCCCTAGGCTCATGTACATATAGGTCTCTCATTATACAATTTCAACTCTCCCAGCACCCATCAATCTCAATTTACCTCTGATTTTCAGTTAACTTCTGTGGAGAAGTGATTGTGCCTTTATTACTGTGATTCCAGCTGCCAGCACATACTTGGCACAGATGAGGGGTCCCAACCCAGTTATGTATGCCCTGAGTAAGGAAAGGGAGCAGCCCTTTGACTTAAGGATCCCTAAAGAAAGTGGCATCTGAGTTGGGTCTGACACATGGCAGACAGCTGCTCTTCAAACCAAGTTGAATCTTGTCAGATTCTCTGAACTGACTCTCCCCATAGCCCTTCTGCAGACTCCGCCAACTCTGTTTACTTGGGCAGCCAGGTAAATTCAACAAGAGGCCTCCTTCCCCAACCCTAGACTGAGTTTTTCACCTTCCAGAGGCCAACCTCTATCCACACCAATGACCCTACCACTTCCCATAGCAGCTGGGTGAATTCTAGTCCACTTATCTGACCTAGCAATCTTGTCCCACTATCTGATTCTAGCAAAGGGATAGCAAAGAAGTCTGCTGAGGAGCTTGTGAAAGTTGCAGCCCTGTTACAAGAAAACACACAGGTAGGGAGGGAGGGTGTCCTGTTTTCCCTGCTTGCTTTCCCATCTCTGGGAACATGGTAGTCATCATGGCAACATGAGGCTTGCAAGCTGAGACATCACCAAGGTGCTTACAGGGACACAGTAGTGATTAGAGGTCCATCGGTTACCACTACCAAGGCTTTAGTAAACAGTCACTTACTTAGGCTTGCTATTACTTGCAGCATTTGCTTGGCCCTGCCCACACCCCTTCTTGTGCCTCAAAGACTATCCTTGGCTTTGCCCAAGTTGGGACTGAGGCTAGAATTCACAGGGGAAAAAAAAAAAAAAAAAAAAAATCAAAGCTTCAACTATCCTCATACCTGAAGGCAAGTCCCAGACTGTGCCATTTGACCCCTAGGCTCTTGCAAACTTTCCATCCTTCCCAAGGTCATCTCATCCACACCTATAGTTCCCGTTACTTCTTGGACACCAATAATCCAAACTTCCATCTCCTTCTATGGTCCCATTCTTGAATTTGATCCCTGTATTATTAAAGGATTTCTCTACCTACTCAGTGACCCAAAATCTGCCCTCTACCTTCTTCTCACCTTCTCTTTTTAAAAATTTTATTTTTATTATTTATTTTTTTGAGTTGGAGTCTCTGTCGCCCAGGTTGGAGTGCAGTGGCACGGTCATGTCCACCACAGCCTCAACCTGCTGGGCTCAGGTGATCCTTCTGCCTCAGCTTTCCAAGTAGCTGGAACTAGACATGCACTACCATGCTCGGTTAATTTTTTGACTTATTGTGGAGATGAGGTCTCACCAAGTTGCCCAGGCTGGTCTTGAACCTGTGAGTTCAGGCAATCCTCTCACCTCGGCCTCCCAAAGTGCTGGGATTATAGGCAAGAGCCACCACATCCGGCCTACCTTCCCTTTCTAATTGAACCTCTTCATGGTTTCCCAGATTATGTTATAGTGGTCATGATGGGCCTCTCTGCCTCATCTCCTACCCATGGTTCTATTGAGCCTTGCAGTGTCTTTCAACCAGCTTCTCTATAACCCCCTTGCCTCCACCCTCTAATCAGGCTTCTACATATTCCTGGGTAAATCTAACTCCCTTCTGTGCTTGACTCTCAGCCCATCAACACTATTCAGCCTGCCCTACCAGCTTCAACTTGATGTTCCATCTTTACATGTGCAATCACTCAGATGCCTTTCTCATAGTCTTGACATGTCCATGGCCCACTCCCAGTGCTCTCCTAGACAGTGAGGACCAGACATGAATTCTCCAAGGCCCAGGTAATCACCCCAGCTCAAACCCCCCACCCCAGGGATTTGCAGTCAGGCTTTTCACTTTAGACTTTTTAATATTTCATACAGCGATTATGGTGCATTCAGGAACCCAACCCCCCAAATCCCACTAGGAGGGCGCCCACCCCGCCCTCCCATCCCATTTCAGGGCCCCAGGGCTTAGGGTGGAGGGAGGGGAGGTAACCACCCATCCAGGGACTGAACCCTGGAGACTGTCCCTTGCCCTGCCCCACCCTCCCCCAGAGTTTAGGAGGCAACACCTGGGCACAACCCCTCATGCTTCCCGACCCTGCTTGTGTACATATACACAGTATGGCTCCTTGCTGAGTTGGTCAGTTCCTGGCAGGGCCCCTACTCAACAGCACCGAATGGGATGGGAGCAGAAGGGCTGGGCTGGGGAGACCCTGAGAAGGAAGGAGGCCTAGGCTACAGGACTGCAGGAGGGAAAGAGTGGGGTCCCCCCACCTTGTCCGTTTCCCAGAGTCTCCAGCAGTCTCCAGATCCCCCTGCAGCTGGGGATGGTAGGCGGGGTAGGAAGGCGAGTGACCGTGGCATGCTTTCCCATAGCCCATCCCAGGGTCTGGTGGTAGTTAGGGTTCCAAATAGGGGCTGTGTCCCTGCCTCTGAAAGGCTGGGGGCGGGGCTTCATTGCACAAAATACTGTGGGAGGGCCACAGGTAGGGAGTGGGGCCCAGCCAGTCTGTATACAGAGATATTGCATTTAAAAAAATGAAAACCTCCTTTAAAATAATTAAAAAAACAATGAATGAAACAAACAAAAAAAGGCCCACACAACATGAGGCAGGTGGGGCAGGCAGGAAAGCAGGCAGGGGCTGTCTCAGACCCAAGGCATCATCACCATCTTGTCTGAGTCAAGATCCCCAGCCTGGGCTAGTTCCAGACCCCTGGCTGGCTGTAGGATAGTGGTCCTGGGGGAAGGTATGATGAGGGGTAGCCTTGGCCTGAGTGTGGGAAGCTGGCACGGCCATGCTGTCCGCCGGCAACTACCGAGACAGAGAAAGACAGACAGACCAGGTGAAGGAGTGATGAGAGCTTTGTTAGCACCCAGCAGACAGGCCAATGGGTGAGTTGACAAGCCAATGGTCAGGTGTTCGGGCAGGCAGCAGGGGACAAGTGGGCAAGTGAACATGGCTCAGGCAGGTAGTCAGGCAGCAAGCAGGGAGGATGCAGATGGGGGGCTGCCCTGCGAGGGGTGTGGCATCCCTCCAGCTGCTGCCTGCTGGGACCTCAGTCTGTGACTTAGAACTCGGTGTCCACCACGCGGAAAGCTGGCCTGCCTGCAGGGAAAAGCAGAGCGGATGGCTGTTGGTAGGCAAGCAGGTAGGTGGGTGGGACAGGGAGGAAGACTAGAGGCTATACGTACCTGAGTCAGGCATTGACGAAGACCGAAGGCTGGCCTCCTTTTGTAGCTGAATCTCCTTTAGTGCAAATATGGAAGTAGCTGTGGGTGAAGAAGACACAGAAGTGGGGGATGACCCATGAAACCATCCAGGACTAGCCCATATGACCCCATTAGGGGAATTAGAAAAAGTTGCCTATTTGAGAGGCTGGACCCTTATCTGTCAAGTATTTCCACACACAGACCAGCTACAACTAGGGAAAATGGAACATGACTACATGACAAAAAATAAATCAATATTAATTTTTGTCAAGGATGGTGTTGCACTTACCACCAATTAAGTGTACAGCAGATAACTGGTGTTTTGAGATTTGATTTACATACTAATCTGGGGGGGGAGAATACAGAAAGTGGGCCAATTTTTATTATTAGGTGTGATAATATTATGTTTTCTTTTACAGGTATATGCTGAAATTATTTATGAATCAATGATATAATGTTTGGGCTTGGATGTGATTTAAAATAATTAGAGGTGGCTGGGTGTGGTGGCTCAAGTCTCCCAGCACTTTGGGAGGCTGAGGTGAGAGTATTGCATGAGTCCATGGGTTCGAGACCAGCTTGGGCAACTTGGTGAGACCTTGTCTCTACAATAGACTAAAAAATTAGCTGACAGCCGGGCTCACTGGCTCAGCCTGTAATCCTGTGCCTTTGGGAGGCCGAGGCGAGTGGATTGTCTGAGCCCGCAGTTCGAGACACACCTGGGCAACTTGGCAAGACCTCATCTCTACAATAAATCAAAAAATCA